CTTTTATGTTTTATATTATTACTAATTTTAATTAATATTATATATTAAAAATAATAAATAATTATAATTATAATTATAGCACAACACAATACCATATAATATGATAGATGAAACTTAAAATCAATAGTGAAGTGTATCAAAATTCGATCAAAGACAGAAACTTTATTTGATTAGGAGTTTTCTACTTAATCAACTAAGAGTCAATAGATTTAAAAAATAAATAAAGCCATTTTGAATTTGATTTTTTAGGTAAAGATTAAGAATTAAATTATAAATTTTTGGTTAAAAATACAAGTAATTTGTGATTTAATTTGATTAAAACAGAAATAAATTAAACCAAAATTAGGGCGAACCCGTGTATAAACAAGCCGGTTAGTGTCCTCAAATTTGGAAAACCAAACTCGCCCATTCAAGGTAGAAACTGACCCAAGCCAGTCCTTTAATCATGTATATCCTTGAATCTTGATTAAGTAGCTAATGATGATAAGATGAATGATCTAAAATTGTGCTTCTTTTTAAGGTATCACAAGAAGAAATATATATTTTTTTTATCATTTACTTATGTTTATGATTCATATTAAAAAAATTTTACGCTATTTAGAAGAGATATTATTAATAAAGTGTTAAGAATCTCACATTGTATTATAATAAATGTTAATACTGTAATGTAAGAGAAAAGGTCCATTGAACGAGTTTGTGAGGAAGTTGGAAAAACATTTTCTCTCTTTCAAAGGTAAAATGCAAAGTTTTCTAGGCAAATTGTGAGAAGAAAAAAAAAATTGTTGATTTATTTTTATTTATTAAAATATTTTACTTTAATAAATTAAAAAATTTTGAATTTTCTTTAAAAAAAAGTCGTCATGAGGTCCACCCTTCGGGTCTTGGTACCAACCCTTGATTTTCTTAGATGTACGCGTTAAAAAAATACTGCAGCCAGGAAACTTAAGGACGGAACTAAATTTAAATAAATAAATAAAAAGCAGAAAACAGCATGGCAGCTTTGTCACTATGTGTGATCCATATGGTTACGTGCGAAACAATTTTGTCCTAAAATATTTCTGTGGTATT